GAGATACTCACGAATCCTGTGTTTCAGGGGGCGCCAGCTGCTAGCTGGCACAGAGTTCAGAGGCCCCACGTTGGGCGCCAGATATGGGTGCGTGGGTTTCGCGGAACGCCAGCTGCTGGCTGGCGCCTGTCTCTCCCGCGCCATCCTGCACGCCACATTGCTGGGGTGTGTGCATGTCACGCACCGCGTTGCTGAGGCTCTCTGCTACCGGGGCTGGTGGCTCTAGAGGACCGCTGTCAGCCGCCTGGGCGGGTTCAGTCCCAATCTACCTGGCACTCTCTCTGGGTTCGAGATCCGTCAGCTGCCGGGTCACGAGGGGAGGTGCGAGTCGGTGAAAGCAGGGTCTCCACGAGTCGTGGTTTATGAAGAGACAGCCCTCTCTGGGAAGACTGGATCATAGGCAGTAAGACACAGAACTCAGCTCAGTCAGACTCAGTGTTACCGCTCCTTTATTCAGTGATTCAGCTCGGCTCCAGGTCTTAGTGATTCAGCTCCGATTAATTAGGGGAAACCAGGATATTTTATACTGTGGGGGCAGTGGCAAAAGCCTTAGTTGATAGGTGCTTTTAGGATGCCCTATTTACATGTGGTGGTGGGCTTCTGCCGGGCTGCCAGACACTGCCTAATTATCACACAGGAAAACCTGGCAGTTCCTATGCCAGAGGCCATGTATTTATGGCGGCTACTTCAAAGATGAGTCAGGAAGAGAGTGGGGGGTGCCCTGCTGAGAAGAGGAGTCTCCCATTCACGCCGAGCCGACATGCGGCTATCCGGACATGGAAAGACTACAACTCAAAACAGAATGAGTCCCCAACAGCTAACAACCGTCCTTAACTCCGTTTACAGGGGATCTGATGCCCTGTTCTGACCTCTGGCGGCATTGCACAATATGGGTGTGCCTACCAACCTGCAAGCAATACACTCATGCACATAAAATTTAAAAACTAAATAATTTTTTTGGTGTTTTTGAGGCAGGGTCTCCCTGTAGCCCCAATTGGCCTGGAACTCGCTATGTAGACCAGGCTGGCCTCGAATTCACAGAGATCTGCCTGCCTCTGCCTCCCAAGTGCTGGGACTACAAGTGTGCACCACCACGCCCAGCTAAATACAATTTTTTTTTCCAGTCTTTTTGAGACAGGGTCTCCCTATAGCCCGAGCTGACCTGGAACTCACTATGTAAACGAGGCTGGCCTTGAACTCACAGAGATCCACCTGCCTCTGCCTCCCGAATGCTGGGATTAAAGGCGTGTGCCACCACACCCGGCCTAAATACAGTATTTTTTAAAATACGTTTAGAGGCTGGAAAAATGGCTCAGCAGTTAAGAGCATTGGCTGTGCTTTCAGAGGACTCAGGTCTGATTTCCAGCACCCACATGGCAGCTGGCTAACACCCATCCATAACACCAGTCCCAGGAGATCCAACACCCTCTTCTGGCCTCTGTGGGCACTGCATGCATGTCATGCACTCATATACATGCAGGCAAAACATACACATAATATTAAATTTAAAAAATTAATTCCAAAAAAATATGTTAAAACACACACACAGGCTGAGCATAGTGGCACATGACTTTAATTCCAGCACTCAGGAGGCAGAGACAGGCAGATCTCTGTGAATTGGAAGCAAGCTTGGTCTACATAGAGAGTTCCAGGCCAGCCAAAGCTACATAGTGAAACTTTGTCTCAAAACCAACAAAATCCAAGTGTAAACAACAATAACAAACAAAACCTGCGTGCACACACACACACACACACACACACACACACACGGGGGGGGGGGGACTGGCAAGATGGCTCAGAGGGTAAAGGTGCTTTCCTCAACCCTGACAACCTGAGTTTGATCCCCAGAATCCACATAGTGGAAGGAGAGAACTGACACCCAAAAGTTGTCTTCTGACTACCACACTCTCGAAGCAACAAGTGCATCCACCCATACACACATACACACACACACACACACACACACACCATATGTATTTTTTGTTTGTTTGTTTTGTTTTGTTTTGTTTATTTTTGAGAAACGGTCTCCTTGTAGCCCCAGCTGTCCTGGAACTTGCTGTGTAGACCAAGCTGGCCTTGAACTCACAAAGATCTGCCTGCCTCTGCCTCCCAAGTACTGGGATTAAAGGTGTGCACTACCACGCCTGGCCACAACAAATATTTTTTAAAATTTAGAACACACATTTTCAGAGCCACAGTGTGTGGATTCAAATCCTTTCTGCTGCTTACTAGCCATGCGACCTTGAATGTGCCTCTGTGCTGGGATTCCTATAAAACAGGATGGTAGTGCACTTACTGCAAAATGTGATGTGGCATAACACTCGGCATTTAATAAGCCCTGAGAAGGCTTGAAAACACTACTGGAGAAAGTGTGCAGAGATCCACAACTGGAAATGACAAGACAAGGTTGATGAATTCCACATAAAGCTAAAGAAGAAACTTGTTAATCTCGCCTTGCTCAAAAGTCAAGTTTTCCAGGCTTAGCAGTTCTGAGCATTGCAGTTCCACTTTCTACCTGCAGGTGGCAGTGGCAGTTTTTGTCTTGGAAACTGTTCCTCTAACAGGACTGAGTGGAGAGAGAAAAAAATGGATCCTGCTCATTCAATAAAGGTTTACTGAGCATCTATTATGTGTCATGGTGCATGCCTTTAATCCTAGTACTCAGGAGGCAGAGACAGGTAGATCTCTGTGAACTGGAGGCCAGCTTGGTCTACATAACGAGTTCCAGGCCAGTCAGGGTTCCATAGTGAGATCCTATCTCAAAACAAACAAAAAATCAAAAAAGAATTAGTGAAATCACAGTAGTCAAGATTTACTCAGGGTGGGTGAGATGGTTCAGAGGATAAAGGTGCTTGCCTCCACACCTGACAGACTTGATTAGAGAATGACTCCTGCAAATTGTCCTCTGACCTCCATACACACATCATGGCACTTGTACACACACACACCACACACACACATGATTAAATAAATAAATAAAATATTTTCAAGGATGCTTAGAACTTACATTGAACAATAACTCCAGAACTTCTTTCAGAGAAGCTGAGGGATGTCACAGAACCTTCAAAATTGAACTTTGTTAATAATGAGGCAGAGCCCTAACTGGGGTTCTCCTTCAGAAGTAAAATGCTCTCTTTGGCCAAAAAGATGCTGTAAAGGACCTCATTTACCATCAGTTGTTTTCTGAAGCCTACTTGCATTTTAAAAGAGGTTCAACTGGACATGGTGGTCCACAGTTAAAATCCCAACACTTAGTGGGTAGAGCCAGGAGGCTCAGAAGTTCAAGGTCATACCTGGCTACATAGCGAGTTAAAGCCAGTCTGGACTACTGAAACCCTGTCTCAAAAAAATAAAACCTAAAAAGTAAAAGCATACAAATAAACAGTAACAATTTTTTAAAAAGCTAAGAAAGAAGTTTGACAAGGTTTCATAAGATCCACCCTAAGAGGAAAGGGTTGAGATGCCAAAAGACTTTGAGATTGTCACCAACCCAAAGAGAGGGGGAGGGGGAGAGGTATGGGTGCACAGGAAGATTCAAGAATTGCAGGTCAGAGTGAACACACAAAATACCACATAAATTTTAAGTCAAACATTTTCCTTTTTAGGAAAAATCACCAAAAATTTGGGCATATGACCAAGAGAACAACAGCATCCTTTTGACCATAGACAAGCTCACCTGAAGACTAGTTCTGTAGCAGGGGGCCTACAAACATTTTCTATGAAGGTCAGGAGAGCATACATCTTAGGCTTTCCAAGCTAAATACTGCTGATAACTATTGTAACAGAAGTTGGTGGCTGTAGAGCAAAACCAGCTTTACGTGATGCATAAATGAATCATACCGCTGTGTTCCAATAAAACTTTATTAAAAACAGTCAGTGGGGGCCAGATTTGGCCCAAGAGCAACACATACGCATGCATGCACACATATGCATACACACACACATGCATGTGTGTGGTACATGCTTGTTAGGGTGGGCATGCATGCACCCATGCATGTAGAAACCACAGCAGGCCATTGGGTGTCTTCCTCTGTTACTCTCTACCTATACCTCTTACTAGTGACAGGATCTGCATTTCAGCTGCCAGCCGGCTCTAGGAATCCACCTGTCTCCATCTCGCAATGCTAGGGTTACAGGCATGCATAGCCAAGCCTGGGTTGTTACACTCTTGTTCTCATGCTAGCAGAGCTCTTAGCCACAGAGCCATCTCCTCTCAGTCTTATATACTTTCTAAAAATCCCACAAGGAGGTGCACCATCCTTGGAGGTACTGTAATACAAGGCTGAAGCATGGAGTGGACAGAGCAAGCTCATATTCCATCTTCCTGCTCCAAAAATCCATCCAATATATTGTCTTTGGATAGAGGAGGTTTCACATAGCTGATAAGAACAGACACTACCCTTGTTCTTAGCCCAGAGATTTAGACGTGATGATGCCAGTCACATATTTAAGCCAAAAAATGTGCCTGTATTTGCCTCACTATTTACTGTTGGTTAAAGATTCAGATTCTTTTGATTTGTTTGTTTTGTTGTACAGATGGGTTCTGTGTAGCCCAGGCTGGCCTCAAACCCATAATCTTCCTGCCTCAGCACCCAAGTTCAGCGATTATAGTTGAGCACCACTCTCACTGGCATAAGACTCAGATTCTGGCCTGGGAGAGTTTTGAATAATTTCTCTTCAGCACAAAACAGAATCCAGTAGACTGAAAGCTTCCATTACTTTGCAGCTTAATCAGTGTGGTATCAGAACACCCTCTGCACCTGCTTCATCGCCTACTCTTGGTCTTTGGCAAGCTGAATCCATTTCAACCTATGTTCTTTCTGTGTTTGAATGTGTCACATTTCATTTTTGACATTCTTACACATCTGCTGTTCTCTTGTAATTAGCAGTAACACCTATTAACCCACGAAGAGCCTGCGGAGGAGGTGAAGAAAGGAGAGATTAAGGAATTACTTCCTGCTCCACTGTACTACTGGACTCCAGAAGAGAAAGAAACTCTAGGTAGTGGGAACAGAGGCAAGGATCAAAAGAGAAACCACATAATTTCTCCCCACATTCCCTTCTTCCCCACTCCAAATGACCTATGAAAAAAGTCAGTTCATCTTGCTCAATTCTGAATCTTCTTTCTTTCTTCCTTTCTTCTTTCTTATTTTATTTATTTATTTATTTATTTATTTATTTATTTATTTATTTATTTATTATTTAGAGACAGAGTCTCCTTGTAGCCGCAGGTGGCCTGAAACTCATTTGTAGACCAGGCTGTCCTCGATCTCACAGAGATCTGCCTCCCTTTGCCTCCTGAGTTCTAGAACTAAAGGCATGAGCCACTATGCCCAATTCTGATTATGGATTTCACTTCCACATTTCAGCCCTGAACTTCTGGCCTCCTCGTCTTTTTTTGTTGTTTTTTTTGTTTTGTTTTGTTTTGTTTGTTTTGAGACAGAGTCTTGTTATGTAGGTCAGGCTGACCTCAAACTCTCAGTAATCCTCCTGCCTCCTACAGGCATGAGCCACCAAGCCCAGCTTCCTCCAGGACTTTGGCTAACTGTTGTTCCCAGTATTTGTGTATGTATGTGTGTGTGTGTTGGTGTATGTGTCTGTGTAGAAGTCACCCTTGGGTGTCATTCCTCAGAAGCCATCCACCTTGTTTTTTGAGACAGGGTCTCTCACTGACCTAGAGTGTGCCAAATGGGCTAGGCTGAGAGCCCCAGAAAGTCACCCGTCTCTACCTCCCCAGCCCTGAGTTTACAGGAGTGTGCCACCATGCCTGGCTTTTATTACTGGGTTCTGGATGTTGAACTCAGGTCTTCATGCTTATGCAACAAGTGCTTTATGGACTGAGCCATCTTCCTAGTCCCTAATCTCAGTGTTTCACTTACATCTTTGCTCAAATATCAAGGGGTCTTTCCCCATGCTGCCTGAGTCAGCCCTCTTACTGTAGTCACCTTCCTGCTGACTAGTAGGAATGGGTATCTTTTCATGTATACTGGATACAAGGGTTTTCTTTTCTGAATTGCTTTGCAGGCATTTAAATTTTTTCTGTTGCTTTTCTTTATTCGTGTGCAATTCTTTACGTATTCCAGATATTAATTCTTCCTTGACTTTCACATTAAAAATATTTTTCTCTCCAAGCACTTAGGAGACCAAGGCAGGATTGCTGAGTTTGAGGCCAACCCCAGCTACATAGTGAGTTCCAGGCCAGCCTGGGGTACAGAGTGAGACCTTGTCTCAAAAAAAGCCAAAACACTGAGCTGGAAGGATGACTGAGTGGTTAAGAGCACTGACTACTCCCTAGTCACCCACATGGTAGCTAACAAGGGTCCTTATCTTCAGTTCCAGGGGATCTGATGCCCTCTTCTGGTTTCCATGGGACCAGGCACTTAAGTGGTGGACTTCTATACATGCAGACCAAACATTCATACATATAAATAAAAATAAATTAAATCTTTAAAAAGCTTTTTTAAGCCAAATCAATAACAAAACAAAACAAATCTTAACCAAACCATGACTTTTCTTTCTTACTGTGTATTGGGGGAGGGAGCTGAGGCTTGAATTCAGGGTCTTATGCGTGCTGGATAAGTACTCTGCTGCTAAGCCACATCCCCAGCCCTGAAGTTTCAACAAAAAGAAAGTTGGGGGAGGGGGCTGGAGAGATGGCTCACCGGTTAAGAGCACTTATTGCTCTTGCAGAGGACCCAGGTTCGGTTCCTAGTACACACATGACGGCTAACAACCACCTGTAACTCCAGTTCCAGGGGATCCGATACCCTCTTCTGTCCTCCCTGGGCATTGCATGACACGGGTATGCTTACTTACATGTAGATAATACACTCTTACATATAAAATAAAAATAAGTAAAATAATTTTTAAAAGTTGGGACTGGTGAGATAGCTCAGAGGGTAAAGGCACCTGCTACCAAACTTGATGACCTGAGTTCAATTCCTGGAATCCACATAAAGGTGGAAGGAGAGAACTGATTCCCTCAAGTTATCCTGACTTCTGTTCACATGATGAGGCATACTAAATAATTATTTAATTTTAAAAAGTTTTAATATTTAATGGTGAGATGGCTGTTGTTGACCTGTAAGAGTTCCTTATCTGTCCCTGGACACGAACTCTTTTTCAGACAGATGATTTGCAGACATTTTTTAGCTTATGTGAGTTGCCTTTTTTTTTTTTTTTTCCGCTCTGTTGATTAGGTCTTTTACTCACAAGTTTGAAATTTTGATAAGGTCCAGTTAATCTATTTTTTTTTTCTTTCACTGCCTCTGCTTTTGATGTCATTTCCAAGAAATAATGGTTTTCCTTTTTTTGTTTGGTCTTTTTGAGACAGGGTCTCCGGTAGCCCCAGCTGGCCTGGAACTTGCTATGTAGACCCGGCTGGCCTGGCCTCAAACTCTCAGAGATTTACCTGCCTCTGCCTCCCAAGTGCTGGGATTAAAGGCATGTACCACCATGCCAGGCTCCCTCTGTTTTCTTTTAAGAATTTTTCGTTGTTGTTGTTTTGATTTGAGACAGTCTCACACTATGCAACCCTTGAAGGCCTGGAACTTTCTATATAGACCAGGCTGTCCTCAAATTCACAGAGATCTGCTTCTCTCTGTCTTGAGAGTGCTGGGATTAAAGCAGTGCACCACCACACTTGGCTGAGCTTTGTTATTTTCACTAACAGATAGGTCCTTAATTTCTTTGGATTAACTTTTACTTTTTACTAGAGACAAGTTATCATTTTTCTTAATAATGTATGCATTTTTCATATGAGTGAAGCTATCTTTTTATGTTGATAATATAGGTTTTCTTCTAAAAGTTTTACATAATTTTTTTTTTAATTTTGGGACTGGCCCATATATATGTATATTTGAGACAAGGTCTCACTATGTAGCCCAGGCTGGACTTGAACTTATGACTGTCGTTCCTAAGTCTTCCTAGAGCTGGGATCATAGGTGTATACCACCACACTCAGCATTTAAAACTTTAAGGGGCTAGAGAGATGACTCAGCAGTTAAGAGCACTGACTGCACTTGCAGAGGACCAGGTTTGATTCCCAGCAATCACATGGTGGCTAACACCCATCCGACTCCAATTCCAGGATCCGACACCCTCTTCTATTCTCCTCTGGCATTGCATGACACAGGTGCACTTACATACATGCAGGCAAAAAATTCCTATGCATAAAATAAAAATAAATAAGGAAAGAGGTTGGCAGGAGGAGGATTAGAGAAGACCAAGAGGGTTGATTTAAACACAGTGCACTGTATATAAGTATGATATTGTCAAAAATTATTAATTACATTAAAATGTAAAGTGAGGGAGCAAAAAAATGATAAAATATTTTACTTTTTTTTTTTTGGTCTTTTTGAGACAGGGTCTCCCTATAGCCCAAGCTGTCCTGGAACTCACTATGTAGACCAGGCTGGTCTTGAACTCACAGAGATCCACCTGCCTCTGCCTCCATTTTTTAAAATTTTATTTTATGTGTATGAGTGTATTACTTCCATGCGTGTAGGTGCACCCATGTCATGTAATGTCCTCAGGGATCAGAAGAGGGCATCAGATCCTCTGGAACTGGAGTTATAGATGGTTGTTAGCTGCCATGTGGGTGCTGGGAATTGAACCTGGTCCTCTGCAAGAGCAGTCAGTGCTCTTAACTGCTGAGCCATCTCTCTAGGCCCTAAAAGTTTTAAATGCTGGGTGTGGTGGAACACACCTATGATCTAGGAAGACTTAGGAAAGACAGTCATAAGTTCAAGTCCAGCCTGGGCTACATAGTGAGACCCTGTTTCAAATATGCATATATATGGGCCAGTGAGACAGCTCAGTAGGTAAAGGCACTTGCCACACAAGCCTGAAAACCTGCGTTTGATCCCCAAGACACATATGGTGGAAGGAGGGAATTGACTTCTGCAAGTTGTCCTCTAACCTCCATACATATACCTGGTCACAGAAATGTACACACATACACAGACACACAAGATAAATAAATAAATAAATAAATAAATAAATAAATAAATAAATAAAATACAATTTAAAAATAAAAACACATGGGCTGGAGAGATGGCTCAGTGGTTAAGAGCACTGCCTGCTCTTACAGAGGACCTGGGTTCAATTCCCAGCACCCACAGGGCGGCAGCTAACAATCATCCAAAACTCCAGTTCCAGGGGAATCCGAAACCCTCTTCTGACCTCCTTGGGCACTGCATGACACGGGTGCACTCAAATGCAGGCAATACACTCATACACATAATTTTTTTTATTTTATGAGACACAAGCCTGTCATCCTGAGTTGGATCACTGGAACCCACATAAAGGTGGTAGGAGAGACCTAACCCCACAAACTTGTCCTCTGGTCTCCATTCACATGCACCCACACACATAACACCATTTATACACACAGTAAAAATAAAATTTAGCAATTAAAAATAAGTATTAAA